TTTTTTTTTTTTTTTTTTAACTCGTGAAGGAAAAAATATTTTTCAAACTGATCTGGTTTTCTCCAGAAATGGCTGCTAGGGTGTTTTTAAATGTTTTTAACTCCCCCCGACTCAGCGCAGTTGGGAGTCAATATTTGTGCCTGACAAAGTCATCTCAAACATCCCCCAAAGGTTGTGGCAGCTCTGCAGGGTTTCGGTGGACGCTTAATCCTCTGCATGGAGCAGGCTCATCTCCTTCTGAGGATGTGGCTTGAGGATTTCAGCAGAATTCCCTCTGTCCAGGAGGGCTCTGAGGGTCCCAGTGATGCTCTGGCCCTTGAGCCTTTAGATGATGTGCAGGATCTCCAATCCACCCAAAGCTGCAGCCAGTCCTGGCAGCCTCCCAGGGGCTGCAGCCTGGGACTGTGTGGGGCAGGAGCTGGGCTTGAGGGTGAAGAACCCCAGCAGATCCCTGATTCCCACTCTGGGAAGGAGATTTCTCCCACCCCACTGCTGGCTGTGGGTGCTATCCCTGCACCCCCTCCTGTCAGCTCAGTTCCTCGTGGCTGCTGGCCCTGGAGTGTATCCGTGCCCTGGGCTCAGCCCTGGGCCCCTTCTCCTGCAACATTAGGATTGGTTTGGGCTCCCAGAGGTCCCCACCACCCCCGATAATCCCAAAATCCCACAGCTCTGGCTGCAGAGAGGTGGGTGCAGGCACAACCATGGAAGCTCAGCGTGTTTGTTAGCTTTATTCTCATCCCGAGCTGCCGCAGCGTTAGTGCATTAATTGGGTGGCACGGGAGGCTGCTCGTGTGTCCCAGCCCCGCAGCGTCCCCCGCATCCCGCCCTGGGCACCGCCCAGCTCGCCCATCGCGCCTCCTGCCCTGGCTCAGCACGTCTGGGACCGGCTGCTTGCCTGGGGTCAGGGCAAAGCTCTCAGCCCCTGCCCGAGGAACAGAGGGGACACCCGCGGGCAGCCTGTGTTCATCCCAAGGGCCGGCAGGGCACGGGAAGTGCTGCTGGGTCTTGTTCCTACGTCAGGAGGCATCAGGCGGGTCCTGCTCGTGGTCAGGACGGGGCTGTGGGTGGGACCGGGCTGGGCAATGGCCCTGGGGGCGAGTGCTGCTCTGGGATTTCGTCCAAGCCCATCCTGAATGCCCATGGAGGGGTGGGCTCCGGCTCTGTGTGGGGCAGGGACTATGGCTGGGGCAGCCCCAGAGCACCTGGCTCCAGTGTGACCCCCAAGTGGCGAGACACCCCCGTCACTCCTTGGTTGCAGGTGGCACCTTGGGCTGTGAGGCCCTCACAGGTGCCCCGACACCTTCATCCTCCTCTGGACCCCTCTCCTCTCCATTTTCACCTGCATGAGATTCCCCTGCCATAGGGCTGTGGGTCACCCCTCACCATGAGCCCCTCAGGTCTGGTTTTTCCTGTGTTGGGGACATCCCGGTGGCAGTCACCCAGTGGGATCAGGACAGCCCCATGGCTCTGTGCTTGGAGAAGCCCTTGAGGCCACTGTGTAGCCCCACAACCAACCCCAGACACCCCAGCACCCTCAGGAACCCCTCCTGATGCCTGTTTTGTCACCCCTTGACACTATCCAAGAGCATCCTGCTTCTCCACTCTCCTCTTCCTCCTGCCCCTGCCTCTCCATCATCCTCTTTCTCCTCCCCTGGCTCTCCATCCTCCCCTTTCTCCTGTCCCCTGCCCCTGCCTCCCAGCTGAGCTCACCCAGCGCTTGGTGACAAGGAAATGTCCCTCTCCAGCCGTACCTCGCCCCTGCATCCCCCCACCCGAGGGTCTCCGGGCTGGGTGCACTGGGGAGATCCAGGGAGGCCTCCCAGACCGGAGAGTGGATGTAGGGAGATGCTCGTGGCACCATCCTGTTGTCTGACGGTGCAGGGAGATCGAAACAGGACAGACTCCCTCCCTGGGAGCCGGGATGAGGCAGGAAGGGTCCCCAGGCCCGCGGCACCCGGTGCTGGGGGTGTGAGCACGGCCCCGCCCGGCGCCCGCGGTGCTGCCCGGTCCGCCCGGGGCTCTGCGGGCTGCCAGCCCCCAGCGGGGTGCCAGCGGAGCCCGGGCACGGGGCAGGCGGGGGAGGCGAGGGCTGCACGGGAGGGAGATGCTCCCCCAAGCGCCACCGGTCCCCCGTGCCCCGTGCCCGGGCGGGACCCGCGGAGCGGCGGCTGCTGCGGCTCCCCCGCCCTACGGCACCTCCTTGTGCTCCTGCTTGGACTCCTTCAGCACCTGGAGGCGGAGGCAGAGGGGCCGTCAGCCCGGGATCGCGTTCTGCCACCGGCCGGGCTCTGAACGAGCTTGGGGCCAGGGCCAGGGCCAGGGCCAGGGACAGGGCCAGGGCCAGGGACAGGGCCAGGGACAGGGCCAGGGACAGGACAGCTTTCTCTATGAGCTGCCAGCCTCAGCTCCACCATGACCCAGAGTCAGATCATGCCATACCCTCAAGGATCGCTGACTCCCTGCCTGGGCTGCCTCTGGGGATCAGGGATGTTGGCCCCATGTGCAAGTTCCTTGGGGACACCCTGTGGGACGTGGGGTGGCACAAATGATGATTTCTCACCTCTCCATCTCGGGTCTCCACGGTTTTGACCACGATGCTCCTCTTCACGTGAGCTTCTGACACAGATTTGGTGTCCAGGCTGGTTTCTGGGGGACATGGGCAGGACAAGGCAGTGACACCCTGCCCCGGGTATGGCCCTTCCAGCCACACTCACGAGAAGAAGCCCAAAGAAAATTAATTGGGCTGGAAACCCCTGAACATGAGAGACAGCAGCCCTGGGGACACAACCAACCTCAGGGACAGGGCTGGCTCAGGGACATGGTTGGCCTTGGGGATGTGGCAGGCTGCAGGATCTGATGTGTCCTGGGGACACAGTTGGGCTGTGGGGACACTGGGGACATTTCTCACCTTGGAGATGTTGTGGACCATGGGGACATGGGTGGCTTTGGGATGTGATTGAGCCTGGGGACAGGGTTGTCCTTGGGGCCACAGTTGTCACTGAGGAACACAGCTGGCCTTAGGGATGTAGTTGTCATTGAGGACACGATGATGTGATCAGTACTGGGGACATCATCGGCCTTGGGGACATGTTCAGCCTTGGGGATATGGTCATGGCACCCTCCTCCCCCTACCCTGGGAGCACCAAG